TAATTATTTTCATCGGGTATAATTTTTAAAGTAATGCATGATTATATCAACTGCTGTACTACAAGTATATAACGTAATGATTTCAAACAATGTTTTTTTGTTTTGTTTTTTGCTAACAACTTTATAAACCAGAAAAACCATACCCGATGAGAATAAGTATGTCAAAACTATGTTTTGGACGCCATTTTTAAAATTTAAAAATCAAAAGAAGCCATTTAACCGCTAACGTCAATAGTAACGATTTTATATAAACTATAACGAATAAAATTATTGTTATATTTTACATGCTGATGATGCTGGTATCCATAACCCAGCGAAAATTTCTGTGATAAAATTATTTGTATTGAGAGAAACTGTATTTCTTGATGTTTTAAAATTATATATATATATATATATATATATATATATATATATATATATATATATATATATATATATATATATATATATATATATATATATATATATATATATATATATATATATATATATATATATATACATATATATATATATATTAGGGTGGTGCTTAAAACAACTTTTTTGAGAAAAACCTGCTGGTACCCCCTAAATGTGTTTTATCTAATACAAAAACACTAGGTTTAAAATTTTTTTGAACAAAAAATATTTTTAGGGGTAGCTCAAGGCCCTCAAAAATTTGACGGGTCCCTAATATTTTGAAAAAAAAACTTATTCTAAAGTATGTCAACCTGGTACTCAAAATAAGCAAAATTATATAAAAAATTTAAAAATGAAAATAATTTTTTATAAAAATAATTTTTTCAGGTATAAATGCATAAAAACTATTGTTTTTAAGCTGAAAATAAAAAAAGTCAATATTTTCAGGTTTTTTGAGAATAATTTTTTTTAGACATGTTTTTTTATGTAAAATGATTATTATTTTTGAAGTTTTTATATAATATCGCTTCTTTATATATATATATATATATATATATATATATATATATATATATATATATATATATATATATATATATATATATATATATATATATATATATATATATATATATATATATATATATATATATATATATGTATATATATATATATATACATAAAATTATAATTATATATATATATATATATATATATATATATATATATATATATATATATATATATATATATATATATATATATATATATATATATATATATATATATATATATATATATATATATATATATATATATATATATATATATATATACATATATATATATATATATATATATATATATATATATATATATATATATATATATATATATATATATATATATATATATATATATATATATATATATATATATATATATATATATATATTTCAGCATTTTTGTTTTTCTTTTTTATTTAGATTTTGAAATTTTTGGGGTTTTTTGCTGCTTAAAATTTTCTCTAATTAAAAAATAAATTTATGATTTTTCAATCGTATGTCTAATATTTCAATGCTTATTTTAATATTCCATACGAAGGTCTATTTTTTCGACTTATACATTTGTTTTAGTTTATTTAGTGAACGGATTTTATTACTTTTTTTATTTTTACGGAAATTTGTCAAGGAGCTCGGCGACAGGGGCAGTTTCAGACCATATAGTAAAGGAAAGGCTGGAGATTTTAAGGTTTCTTGATTCGGTGGATCTAGACCATTTGGGAATAATAAGGCCTCCCCCTCCCTAACTAAATCCCCCTAACCCTTAAAGAAAAAACTGGGACGGACTCCTTCTATAGGGATCCTATTTATTATAACTGAGGACCAATATATTTTCCTTAACTACGCTAAGTAAGCAATAAGACATACTAATTTGTAGGTTAGTGGGACGTTAATTATAAAAAAATAGTCCTTAGTTATAATAAATAAGACCGTTAAATAAGACCTTAGTTATAATAAATAGGTCCGTCTTCCTTTATTTTTTAAGGGTTAGGGGGCAATTAGTTAGGGAGGTGGAGGAAAACTCTAGTAGGCCTACCATACAAGATCTGAATCCACCAAACCAAAAAATTGTCCTTTTTATCCAAAATGATCTGGATCCATTATGGAAAATAAGGGCAATATTTTTGTCTGGATCCATATACTAGCAAATATTTTTTTTTCAAGAAAAAACACCTATTTTTGCTAAATTTTGGTGTGACTTGTGGGTGTGGAGAGTTTTTTTTCTAAAATAGGCCCTGATAATAGATGTTTTTGTTTAGTTACATATTAAACTCTTTAATGATGTTTTTTTAAATTTATTTAAATAGGTTTTTTTTTTAACTATCAATAAATTGTTATTTTATTTACTTTTAGATAAAATTGGTTGTAAAATACGCATAAATATTACGGTTTTTGTAAATTAAGTGCACTTTTGTTTAGAAACTAATACGAATTTTTGAACAATAGTTTGTTTTCACTCAATGAAAGTTTAGTATATAAACTTTCTGTTACATATTTATTTTATATATTGGACACTTCCGTTTACTAAAAGCACTACAAGTCCTCCTTTTTCAACACTAAAATCTATAATTAAGGAAGTTACAATCACTATTATGAAAGAGTTGCATATAGCTGGCTAATTCCATTATAGGTTCTCTAGAAATGTAAAAGTTTGGTATCTATTAATCTTCAGCAGCAACATTAGTAATTCCATGTTATGCCGAAAAAGATGATTAATACATTTAAAAAAGTTACTCTAGTCATTTCTCTTCTTATTGATTACTAAATTCAATCTTTTTAATCTCATTAAGTTAATTTACTTTTACTAAGGTTACTAAGATACTTTACTTTAGGTTACTAAGTTTACAAAGAAACTTTACTTTAGGTTACTAAGGTTACTAAGTTACTTTACTTTAGGTAATTAAGGTTACTTTAGGTTACTAAGTTACTTTACTTTAGATTACTAAGGTTACTAAGTTACTTTACTTTAGGTTACTAAGGTTAATAAGTTACTTTACTCTAGGTTATACACTTTAAACAAGAATAATACATTTTTTTCAGAAATGGATTCCAAATAGCAGAAACATTATAAGGTGAGGGCATACTCATCAAACATATAACAACTAAACTACAAAAGCGTATAAAAAAATGTGTGTCAGATAAGATTTTTTATTCTATTTGTAATAGAAGAACATGTAGATACATGATAATTATACTCTAGATCGTTTTTTAAAATAACATCAAGGTCATTTTTGCATTTTACAATATTAAATTGATGATAAGATATGCAATATTTTTTGGTACTTTTTGCTTAATGTTGTTCTTTTAGTAACATTCTATGTTTAATTGCATATTCCATTAATTACCACAATTCAAAATAAAATTGATACCATATAAATCATAACAACTGTTATCATCACTGGCAATTTTGAAAACTTTTCTATCATCAGCATGGAACTGCCGCATATGTTTTAGTTTATCTGAAAATTTATTGATACAAATTGTAAACAAAAATGGTCCCAAAATTGAGTCTTGGGGTACACCACTTGAAAAAAGAAACCATGTAGAAGCAATGTCTTTGATGAGAAAGTCAATGTCAATGATAAGAAGTACTCAATATATGTCAATGATAAGAAGTACTCAATATATTTAATAACTAAACCCATTATACTGTAAATTTCATTTTTGATTATAATTTTTTTATGATAAACTCTGTCATATGTTTTAGAAAAACCAGTAAAGAGGAAGTCGATAGAACATCTATAATTAATGAATAGATTTAAAATTTTTTGACTTTTTAGTAAATTTGTAATGCAAAATTTATCTGGTAAAAAATGCTGGTTCTTTATTTGTCAAACTATTATTTAAAAAGATGGTAAATGTTATTTTTTATAAAGCTTTCTTAAACTTTATATATAACGGAAAAAGAGAAATTGGTCTATAGTTAAATAGAAAAATTTTATCAAAATTTTTTGATAAAATTGAAACTATGTATGAATTTTATTCAACTTTTGGTACCTCTGCCAAATCATAGGTTAAAAGTAAGTTCAATAGCAATACTTAAACTTTCAAAGCAGAGAAGTGTTATCATAAAGAAACAACTTAATGCATACGGTTGGTCTTCATATTTTCCTATTTCTTAAGGATCAAGAATTTTTAAACAAAATTTTTCTCATCAAATATCAAAGCTTTAGAACTTTTTTCCGTTTCATGTTTCTTGAACTTAATTGAATTTTGCGAACTAATGTTTTTTAAGTCTTTATTGAATTTTATTTTAAAAAATTTTATTTTCTGCTATTTATGTATTCATATATATATATATATATATATATATATATATATATATATATATATATATATATATATATATATATATATATATATATATATATATATATATATATATATATATATATATATATATATATATATATATATATATATATATATATATATATATATATATATATATATATATATATATATATATATATATATATATATATATATATACACATATAAATATATATATATATATATATATATATATATATATATATATATATATATATATTTATATAATCAAACTAATATTATGATTTTTAGGTTATCAGATTTCATGAATACCAACAAGAAGTTTTATCAAATGTGCATATTGTTCGTGAGTAAAGCTGAATACAAGTTTAACCGACGAATTAGTTTAAATTGTCTAATGCGCTTTTATAAAATGCGAAATAATAGTGTATTTTTTGTTTTGTTTTATAATAGAAAAGATATTTAAAAGAAAAAGTTAAAAGACACTAATTATTTAGAAGTAAACTAATATTACAATTTGAATTGTCAAGAAAATTTCATGTTAAGTTTCTAACAATTATACTATGCATACAAACACTTGTTCTATGCATATAATCAAAGAAAGTTGGGTAGTAGTAAGGTTTCTTGAACTCTATGGTAGCTCTTAGAGAGAGGAGGACTCTTTCTGCAAATTCTTGCACGATACTTGGCGAGAAATTTTTGATGTTTTACATATTCCATTTTCCGGTAAAACTACCATAATTTCACGGCAATAAATTAATTTCAAAGAATTGCTTGTGTATATATATTCTATTATATTGGGATAAATATTTATTAAAAAAATAATAGATCAATGTCTACAAAGCTATTTAAAGTGTTTACTTTAAAATTATATGTCATCTATAACATCAAAAAATGTAAAAGCTAAATCATAATCTTTTTCAAATATGACTAATTTTTTTTGTTATACTAGCATCCCAAACAGAGCGTACTCGATACAAATGTTTTTTACTTTTTTTATTCAAAAAAATATAGGAATTGATTTTGAAAAAAAAATTCTTTTTTTGACTATCATACTTATTTGAATTGAGAGCGAAAAATTTTTTTTTGTGAACGTTCAGTAGTAAAGCAGAATTCACACAAACAACAAAATTTAAGAAATGCTAAACTTCAATTTTTTTTTTTACAGTGTTGACTATTTTAATTTTCTTATTTCGAGTAAGGACTTTGAAGTAATTACTTTTCCAGAGAAATTATTAAAATCAAAATTTTTACTAAAGTGTGCCTATTTTAACTCATTTACTCCTTTTTATATAAAATTTGCAATAGTCAATTGCTTTCTAGCATATTATAAAATCTGATTCAAATGAAACAAAACCGTCATTATTTCAAATAAGAAACGCTAGATGCTCTCTAGCGACTCTCTAGCGGCTTGTAAAACGCCATTCAAAACAAAACATAAAGTCAATATTTTAAATACGACACGTTAGTTACCTTTTAAAGTTTATTATTATAATATTTATTTATTTATTAATATTATTTTTTTTACACGCTTATTTTACAACTACAAAGTATTTACAAGTTGTCAATCACAGATTGACGGTAAAGATATACAAACATATATATCATAAACATAAAGTTCAAAATATACGAAGTAAACAAAAACATAGTTGCATACTACTCCGAGACACGATTAAAATAAACATAAACAATTACAACAGTGTAGTAACGTATACATAAAAATAATCCGAAAAATATATCTCTATATTATTCCATTTAAAATAAAATTAATATTATAAATAAAAATAAATTAGCTGATTTTTTGGAGAAGTGTTTAGATGTTTGACTATAAGTACATCATTTCAAACTAATGTTTGTGTATAAATATGAAAAAAACGAAATTTGTGTAAGATTTCTAAGAAGAATTACTTGTTAATAGTTACAGCTTGCAGAAGACTTATGTCAGTCTTGTCATCGAGTACCTTTTTTCTGGAGGTGTAATACACATAAAAATCAGTGGAGTACGTGGTATATATGTATGTTGTACATATATACCTTGTTATTAATATTATTATTTTTTATTATCAATTTGTATTAAAAGTTGGGCTAATTTTTTTTTAATTTTTTGTATTATTGTTTTAAAAAATTTCCTTATAGTTGTTTAATTTGACTATTGTAGATTTAAGCTTTATTTTTAGAGAGTTTTCGTTGTTTAGATTTAATAGTGATTCGTTTCTGACAACTAATTTGTTAAATAAATAGGAACCACGATATGTAATTGAGAATTTTAAGAGTTTTGTTGTTTCAAACGGTATCTTAAAGTTGCCCGTTGCTTTTGAATTGTATATATTTATATTGTTTTTAAAAAAGTGTGCTGTAAAATGTTCTGGAACCAGATTTAATTTAAATTCAAACATGAAAAGTATATTTTGAAAAATATTTATTTGGAATATTTTTAGTGCGTTCATTTGTTCCAATAAAGGTTGAGCATGAGCAGATTTGTTCCAATAAAGGTTGAGCATGAGCAGATTTAGTCTTGAAGCGTGTTTTTGATGTAGGTAAAGTGGTATTAATTTAGATTTGCGGGTACTGCCCCATGCTACATTGGCATACATCAGAATGAAATGTATGAATGAAATGTAGACAAGTTTTAGACAATTTGGTGACAAAAATGGTCTTATTTTGTATAGTAAACCAATATTCTTTGATATTTTTGTGTTAATCTAGTTTATGTGGGGTTTCCAGGAGATATGTTTGTCAATTAGAACTCCTAAAAACTTTGTATTCAGAGCTATTTTGATGTTTATATTTTCTATATTGAGTGTTGATAGGTTCAGGGGTATTTTTTTAATTTGTTGATTAGAAAAAAATAGTATGTACTTAGTTTTTTCTATATTGAGTTACAGTTTATTGGATTTAAATCATATATTAATTTTATTTAGTTTAGCATTTGTTTTTTCAAAAAGGTCTTCGATTGTCTTAGCTGAGTAAAATAAGTTTGTGTCGTTGGCAAATATTATAGTTTTAAAGATATTAGAGGCATTTGAAAGATCGTTTATATAAATAAGAAACAAAAGAGGAGCAAGAATGGAACCTTTGAGTACACCACATTTTTTTCTCAGTAAACTTGAGTTGCTTTTTTTTATCTATAATAATACACTGTTGTCTATTATTTAGGTAGTTTTTAAACCGATTTAAAGCTTGTTTTTTTACGCCATAGTTTTTTATTTTTTTCTGTAAAATCTCGTGGTTGACGGTGTCAAATGCTTTTGACAAATTAATAAAGGTTCTTGATGTAATTTTTTTTTTCAATAATCTACTTATTTTAATTGATAGGCCAAGGAATGCATGCTCAGTTGAGTGTAGCTTTTGAAAACCATATTAACCTTTATTGTCAATTTTGTTCGTTTTTAAATACTAATTTAATTTATTATAACTTATTCATTCTAGAAGTTTTGAGAATACCATAAAGATTGAGATTGTTCTGTAACTGTTTAAAGAATTGGTTTCTCCTAATTTATAGATGGTATAATTTTAGATATTTTTAGTTAATCAGGTACAATACCTGTTGTAACTGATGAATTTAATACTTAGAATATTGGATTAATTATCTTCTCAAAAACATCTAACACTACTTTACAAAAGATGTCACCGATCCCTGGGGACTTGATTTTAAGGAATTTTATAGCTACTTCAAGTTAATATTGATTTATTTCATTGAAATTTATAGAGCTGTGTTAGCCTGTTAAGTAAATGTATTATTTGTGCATTATTATTCAAGAAATGTCATTCGCTTCGTCTTCGTATTGACAAGTTTAATTTTGTTATTTCAAGTGAATATGTTTAATAAACACTTTTTTATAATCCAAAAATTAATTTTTTTATTTTATTATATGTTTTAGACATCATTGATTAAAAGACATGCACACTAATCGACATATATTGCGGTTTATTACAACATATTGCAATATTATTGCGCGTTCAATTTAAATTGCTATATATTGCTCAATTAATTGACCAATAAAATATCAATAAAATTATACAAATGTAATGTGTTTGTAAATGTAATTTAGATGCATTTAAATATAAATAATTCTGATGCTTATCTAATTGCCTGTGTTATTTTTTTGTTTTACATAAATTTAATGGGTTTATAAGCATTAGCAAGATTGTTGTTAAAATATTACAATATAATTGCAATATAATTGTAATATTATTGCAATATTATTGCAACTAATATTAGGTAATCGATTTTATGATTGTAACTGAAGTTACAAGCATGCTTTCATTGGACTTTATACTGCAGTGTAAGTGCGGCCAGGCAGGTTTCTTCGGCGCACGTTAGACATGGCTTGCATGAGCCCAGCAAACCTGTCTGGCCACACAAGATACCCGTGCAAAAATAACATAGTTATTTATAAGTAAAGACTCATAAAATTTTATTAATGGTGAATATATGTGCAATGAAACGAATTTTTTTTAATAGAAAGTACGAGAGAAGAACTTTACATTTTACGGCTGAGTCTACTCCTTCTGAAGAGGAAATTACTAATAGTAGTTCTCAGTCCGACTAAAGCAATACAGATGATAATGTTAATGATGGTAGTTTTACCCAAGAGACAGAAGAAATTGTATCTATAGTATCTGAGGAAGAAAATCAAATTCTAGTATCTGAGGAAGAATCGAGTGCTTCCATGTTTCAGTTCTTTAGTTCTAATCCATTTGAATGTTCTTTATTGGATTTAATTGTTAACAAAAAGTTTATGTTTTTAACCTTGTTGTATTTAATGATTAGCAATTCATTTACTGAAATCGCATTTGATAGATTTTTGAAGACTTTGCTGGTATGTTAGATGTAGTTTAAATTGTGCAATGTACTTGTAAATGAATGTTGTGAAGCTAATAAAATTATCAATCAACTTAGTCCTTAGCAATAAATGTTGATCTGGCTATTTATCTCTGGCTGCTACCAGAAATGGTGCACATTGCCAATAATTCGTAAAAAAAGTCTGATAAAGTAGTGCAGAACGTTCCTAATTATAAAACATTTTACTTGTGAAAATTTTATCCGACTTTTTTTTACAAATTATATATTATATAATATTTTACAATTATATATTATATATTTTATATCTATAGTTTTTACAAATTATTTTTTTACAAATTATTAAATTATAAAAATAATGAAGTATGTCATATTTTTATTTCAACTTGAGGCTGGGGTCTGGCCCAGGCTTAGTTTGGTTGATAAAGCTTGAAAAAATATATTTTTAATTTTTAAATTTTTTTAATAGATTTTTCGCTGTATAAATGACATGCCGTCATCTCATAAAATGATTCATAGATTTGTTACTAAAAATATATTCTCCCATATTGAACCAACGCATAAATATTATTGTCATAATTGCTGCACAGCTTTAGTTGACACGAGTAAAATAAATACTCATTGTTCATCCCATATCTTTATATTGGATATCATTAGCCAAATGAAACTTGTTTTATTTCTGTCAGGTAAAAGAAAGAGTGATTTTATTTCTAGACCAAATTTTGTTGAAAATATGAAGTCTGCAAATGTTTTACATATTCATTTATTGATGTCAACAGATGGTGGAGAACCATACACAAAAAAAAAGATTACAATATGGCCATTTCATGCTATTATTTTAGATTTACCATCTTATAAACGATTCCTATTTGAAAATACACTACTTCTTGGTTTATGGTTCTCATTATTAAAACCTAATTGGAATGCTTATTTAAAGGTAATTAAATTATTGATTGTTATTTTTTATTTTAAAAGTAGTTGTCAATGGAATTACCTATAGTAGTAGAATTCACTGTTCCAGCCGTGACAAGAATAAAATGGGCAACGTTACTATATTACTAACTTTTTTTTAGGAGTACATCAATGGAAAACTGTTTGAAACACCCCTTGAAATTAACAATATCCAAGTAGTTATTCATATTGTTGGTTTTGTTTTCGATTTGCCTGCAGTGGCTTCAATCATCAATCATAAGCAGTATAATGGTGAATTTGGATGTCACTATTGCGAACATCCTGGTAGAACAATTGAAAGAAAACATGGTTCCGCTAGAATTTATTCACATTCAGATACAAATTATAATCTTAAAACATCTGAAATGTATGCCATATATGCTAGATTAGCCGAAAAATCAAAAGTATCTGTATTTGGAATTAAAGGCTCAAACATCTTTAGTGACATTTCATTTATTAAAGTGCCAGATATGATACTTATTGATGTGTTACATTTGTTTTACGAAAATTGCTCAAAAAAGCTTTTAGTTTGTTTATTTTCTGTTACCAATAAACACGAATCATTTTTTATTGGTAGTGCAAAATTAAATGCTATGGAAATCTTACTTGCTGATCAAAAAATGCCACATAACATGCCCAAGCCATTAACTATTAAATCATTCACACATTGGAAAGGCCATGACTTTAAAAACTTTATTTTATACTTAGCAGTTCCATATTTTTTACCATATTTGAATCCTGACTGCATGATGATGATTTATTCTCTAGTAATTGGTATGCGTTTGTGTAGCAGTGAAATATGTTTAGATAAGGTGTTGCTTATTAGTCAGCTGTTTAACTTTTATCAAAAATCATTGTCTGAGTTGCTTCCTTTATATATGAATACTATAAATGTTCATTTGCTTGGTCATGTTAGCGATATTATTAAAATGCATGGAAGTGTTACAAATTACTCAATGTTTTGTTTTGAAGCTCGGCTAAGTAATTATAAAAAAATGATGAAGGGAACACATGGTCATCTAAAACAGATTGTACAAAAATTTCTTGACTTCAAAACAGCTTCTTGTTTTTTGCAAACAACAGATCATCCTAAAAAAGTTGAAGTTTGTAAAGCATTAAATATTGGCATTATTGAACAAGAAGAATTGCAGTTGTTAAATCCGGGCAGATTGTTGAAACATGGTATTGTTTACCCTTCAAAAGGTTATGGCAAACATAACAGCTATACTTGTCAATTTGGACATAATAAGTTTGGTATCATATTAGATTTTCCTTTAGTTGACAATGTAATACATGTTCAGTTACAACTATTGAATGTGAAGTGTAAGTTAGTTTCTACTTTTGGTGATATGATTGGAAATTCGGAAATTAACTTTGATGATGACTTTTTTTTTATTGTTGAACAAACAAAAAACATTGTTGTTATTTCAGCTGACACTTTAGTCTGCAAATGTATATTAATTAAAAGTAAATTAGATACAAAAGATGTATTAATTTTGACACCATTGAAAGAACTTTTCGAATATGCTTAGGGTGGCTAAATGTAAATTTTGTAATTAATAAATATGCTTCACATCATGCATGTGTGTTTTTTTATACTAAAAAACATTTTTGTTTTTAATATTTTGATAATTTGATTTAAAATAATTTGATAATTTGATTGAATTTTTTTACAGGTTTATATTTTATTAAATAATGACTTACCCTGATAGAAATAGAACAAAGAAATTAGATTTTGTAGACACTCAAAAGCTTTCTTCTACGTTTGTTCTTTTATGGTACAAGAATTGTGAAAAAGATGAGCGGCATACCTCTCCCATATCACTTTCAAATACACTTTCTAAGCATTATTCATCCGTTGAATGCCTTGAATTTCAAGTGGTAAGTGTGTTAAAAAAAACTGACAGCATTTACCATACATAATATAATTAAAGTCCACCCTTAAATTTTATCTCCCCTCCCTATAATTGACAAAGAAGATAAATTTTGTTTTGTTTTTTTACATACCAGCTATTAGCTGAATATATCAGCTATCAGCTATTAGCTGAATATATAGAAGCCCACCTTAAAATAGAAGCAAGTATTTTAGATGCCCACGAATAAGATAAAAATGTTTTTTTTGTTTTTTTACATAGCTGAATATATAGAAGCCCACCCTAAAATGGAAGAAGTATTTTAGATGCCCACTTTTTAGGGATGTTAAAAATGGAAGCCCCTGCTTTTATTATACTATTTATGGTGTGTTGATAATTAAATTTAATGTTTTTTACTTATTAGAAAAATGTAGTGCATGTTTCTATTGCAAATATACAACACGCAGCTGTCATCATCTATAAGGGGTCTATTACCCAATGCTGTAAATTTGAAACATTGCTAGATAATTTCATGGACGATTTTGGTGATGAAAATCCTAGCACTGATGAAGTAAGCAAGTTTGCCCTCAATTATATTGAAGGCAATACTGACGGAAAAAGAAAACATTCTGATGGAGACCAATCCTCAGGTAACTTATGAAATATAAATATGTGACAATGACAAGACAATATTATAGTAATTTTATTTAAAATTTACTCTTCTGTGCAGTGGTGAACTGGACCATGGTGCCGGAGTGCAATAGCACCCTGGGTCAAAAAAAAGGAGGTTACCTTTGTTACCAGACAGAGTTTAGTTATTATGTCTGCTACACAAGTAATAATTAATTAAACATTTTTGCTAAATAATAAAAAATGACACAAAATTCACACAAAAATTATCAACACAAGTTAAAGTTGCACTATCCGATGGTAGGTGGGGATCTATTGGATCCACTAGTAGCCTAGCCCCTAGTACACCCATGATTATATGTTTGTAACCACAACTTGTTCATGTTTTTTTTTTTATAGATTCAGAGAATATTGCACCGGTCTCAGAACATACAGGCCTAAACGGACCTAAATATAAATCGACTCCTAAATCAAAGGTGCTGAAAAAAAAACATGTAAATGAAGTGTTGAATGAAAATTCAGGTAATTTTAATAATATTACAATTTTGTTTATGTAATTTCTTGAACATATTTTTATTGTCTTTTTCATTTATAGAATCAGAGTCCTTTGCATCATTTTATAACAGTCAAAAAGGATCTAAAAAAAGTGAAGCACAGATTATGGCTTTGGAAAAGCGGAAGCTTGACATGCTACTTGACAATGTTGATGCTCCCAGAGCATTGATGCTTCCAATAATTAGTGATGTTCCTAAAACAAAACACTGTGGTTCACCGAAGTTAAGCAAACTATCTTGTTTAGAAGGTTAGTTACAGTCCTATAGTATGAATACTGTGTTTGCCTAAGTTCTACCATATTGTACTTGTACATAGAAGTGCTATATATTTTTTTTAACATTAGCAATTTTGATTGAACAAAAGAAACTTCTTTTTGAACAAAAGAAGACCAACAAACTGTTGTCTGAAATTTTGCGCCCAATAGAAAAAGAATCTGTAAATAATGATAATGTAAGTCAATTTAATTTTTGTAATTTAATTAAAAAAAGCTCATCCAATGAGAGCACAACTTGCTAGTATTTACCAAATTGAATAAAAGAAATATTGATTGCTAAAGGAAAGGTACATTTATATACAAAAGGTTGCATAATTTGACCATCCATTGAAAAATGTTTACTAAATCCGAACTTATCTGTATTATACTTTTTAGGCCGTGTATACTGGTTTTGATGCCGAATTTAAATTGCACGACATTCAAAAACGAGAACCATGTAGCTTTGCAAGAAAATTTATTTTGTTGCGATTCGGAAAGGAGTTTACTTGCACGCGTATTTGTGAACCAAACGGACCTACTGCACGCATTCATATGGAGAATGAAGAAATTCAGGAAGTTAAAGGTGCACTTGACAAAGTGTTTACGTCTTACAACTGGCGTGTTGTTCGGGCGAGTATTAATCAATTTTTCCGAGACAATAAAAGTAGTACAAAAGTTTGAAGACTAAACAAATGAGTGACATTTTTCTTGTGGTGTGGGGTTGTCAGCGTTTTTCGCTTATTCCCCCCCCCCCCCCATTCTATCTGTAATGTGTTTTGTATGTTTTGTGTGTTAAATAAATACACAATCTTATTTATTCTAAATTTAGTTGTTTATTTAATTTTTAAAATTCGAATTTAGTATGAATTGAAAGTGTACATAAATGTTTCTTTCAAATGTCAACTTTCAGCGCTGCTGCTAGACGATAATAAAATTGCAAAGAGTTTTATTGTCAATATTGCGAGATTATTGCCCAATATAATTGCAATTTTATTGCGAGATTATTGCCCAAGATATTGGCCAATATTATTACAATTTTATTGTCAATATTGCAATATTATTGCCCAATATATTGCCAATCCATTGCAAGTTATTGGCAATATTGGCCAATAAAATTGCAATATTATTGCAATTAAAAAAAATATATATTGATTAGTGCAGGGACGCAACCAGGAGTTTTCGGTCTTTAAGATAGCTTACTCCAAACATTTATATGTTTATACTTACGTCAAATGAGGATGCTTTGCGAAAAAACGTAATGATTGGAGCTTGGAAACAAAAAAGCCCCAAAATTTGGATCCCCCTGCCCCAAACGTGAGAGCAACAAGTTAGTGAAGCATTTTTTGTATTATTTTCAACTAGACTTATATTCATCGATAAAGTTTAAACTTCGTTGTAAAATATTTTAGCGATCAAAAACTATAACCATATAAAGTTTTCTGAGTAACGTCATCATTGGGGATATACTTTAAAGTAATTCTGAGTAAAATACTTTTTAGATTAAACCCTCCTCAATTTGAGGAGGTTGCAAATTTTATATTGTCTATTCTATCTAAAGTTAACGGTATAAAAAGACTTGAGTTATTTTAACCTATAGAACAGCTGTACTCTTAAACGAAATGACCAAAAATATTTCTCAAAAACATTTTGACATACGCAGCTCTCTGTTTTGGGTTGGGAAAATATTTGTCCACAGAAAAATGGACAATTTGATTTTTATAAAATACAAAATAAAATACCTTTGAAGTCTTATAGATACTATATACGTAATATATAGAAAAATATTGTACGCAATAGCAAACGAAAGAAAGAAATTTTTCAAAATAACTTAAAATTTCTAAAAATACTAAATACCGGGAGTATATTGTTGCGCATGCGTCATGATAGAGATACTTATGTTATTTTAGTTTTACATTTAAGTCTTTCTAAAACTATGTTGAGTTCTTGCAAAGAAAAAGGATATATAACATGTATATATATATAGAATATGATTTCTGTAAAACTATTAAATTGTTTTGTTTTGCATTTTATATAACAAAATATTTTGATAAAAGCAAGCAGATGATTTGAACTTGTCACGCGCAGACCTCAACTAATTTATGTTTTTAAAAGGAACATAATTAAAAATTTATATTTAAAATAAAACATTTAACTGAATTTATTTTATGTAAAAATAATAATATATTAACAATATTTATTATTTAAATAATAAATTATCTCAAAGACAAAAAATGCTGGATCCGTCCAAGCATGGGCGGATCCAGCATTTTCTGTTCATTGAGATAACTTACAGAACATAATATGGAGCAAATTCCAAATATTTATGTTTATACAAAATTCAGTTAAAGTTGCTTTGCAAAAAATTGCGATATTTGGAACCTCATAACAAAAAATATCGAAATTTATTACACCTTCAACCTCAAACGTGAGAGCAACAAAATAAATTACTTTTTTGTATTAATCTTAGATTGACTTATATTCATCAAAAAATGTTAAATTTCATAGTCAAATTAGATTTTATATGATAATAATTTTTGATGGCTGAGAGATTATATTATGAAACTTAATATTCAGATTTAAAAAATTAAAACATCTTTGCATTTAATCATAAAATCAATAACTTTACCCCTTAAAAATATAACCCAAAATTAAATAAAAATTTTTAGTTTTTCTATTTTTTTTTTCAAAGTTAATATTCTCATATTTTGGCACTATAAAAATGATCCGCAAAATAAAAATGAAAAATTTTAAAACTATGATACTAATATATATATATATATATATATATATATATATATATATATATATATATATATATATATATATATATATATATATATATATATATAAATTAGTAGTATATATATATATATATATATATATATATATATATATATATATATATATATATATATAAATTAGTAGAAAATCACTCATCAGAAATGATGAGTCTTTATTGATGAAACACAGTGTTAAATGAGAAAAAATTTTGCAAAGTGATTTTCTACTAATTTGTAATTCCACTGAACATTAAGCACTCTTTTTGTAGAAAACATTTTAAATTGTTTAAATTTAAAATGTTTTTTATTTATTATATATATATATATATATATATATATATATATATACATATATCGGTTATATCTATTATTTTAACAAAAAAGCAGTCAAATGAACAAAATATAAAAACAACAATTGATTTAGTTCTGTTGTCAAAACAAAACAATAAAGTACCACAGAAACTTGTTAATTCATTTCTTCCAATATTGAATGGACAAGAGGAAGTTTAATTTTATACTTTCACTATTTCTCTCTTTATATTTAACTTTTTGGAATTTTTGATAAATAGAGCGTCATCCTTTTTATACTTGCATAATATATTAGTTATCTATTCAGTATAAAAATTACTTTTGCCATAAATTGATCACACTTATATACATGTTATGCTTTTTATGTCACTAAGTCGAGATACAAATGTAAACAGTACAATGACTGGCACTTTAGTGTTTACTAGTATATTATTTTTGTTTTTTCTTTAAAATAAATATTTGTTTTTTTATTTTATGTTTACAGATAAAAGATATCTTTTGACTTGCTTTGCTTGATTGAAGATTAGAAACTTAAGTTGGTAAGGAAATAAAATGTAAGTAACTAATATATTAGAGACTTTTAAATAATCATTGATATATATATATATATATATATATATACATATATATATATATATGTATATATATATATATATATATATATATATATATATATATATATATATATATACATATATATATATATATATATATATATATATATATATATATATATATATATATATATATATATATATATATATATATATATATATATATATATATATATATATATATATATATATATATATATATATACCTAATATTTAGAGAGCTTAAAGTAACGGCAATATTAATAATGTCAGAATTTAAGCATGGAATTTGCAGCTGTTGTAATGATGTTGGTTTAACTTGTGTTGCGTTTTTTGCGCCAGCTATAATTGTAGGAAAAAATGCTGAACATGTTGGAGATAATTGCTGTATTTACGGCTGTTTAGGAACATCTTGCATCGGAGTGTATCTCCGAGCAATGACACGAGAAAAGATTAGAAAAAAATTTTATATAAAGGTAAGTTTTTAGAAAAAAACTTAAACTTTTTTTATTTGAGATGATAAACCTGATAATTACAACTTTCGAAATTGACAGTTTTAAAGCCGGTTGTTTTAGAGTTTAACATTATTTTTGGCTTTCTGATACATAAATGGGAATCTCCGGATCCCACGATTTTTTAAAAATTCCGATATCCCAAGATTAAACACTTAATACCAGGGTTTGACTTTTAAAGCCAAAAACAAAATGATAAACAAAAAATTCTTGTAATTAGGTTTTTGAATATTGTAATTTGCAATTACATTTTTTAAATTTGTCAGTGCTTAAGTCGCGTATATTTAAGAAATGCCGTTATATATACGTCATTTGCTTGTGACTATTTTATTGCACTAATTTTAGCTAAATCAGAATCGCGTGTTATTTAGACGGTAAATTTTCTTTAATTATAAAAGCTTTTCACATGAAATATGACTAAAAAAGTAATTCTACTATTTCAAAAAAATTTTTAAGAGTCGAAAAAAAGAAAGAAAGCAATCCGTAATTACAATTATTTGAAAAAGATCTTAAAATCAGAGATTTTAAATTTAACTTTAGGCTCATTACGAATGCAGCAAATACAGTAGATAAATCAACATCAACAACAACAAATTAGGTTAACCAGTTTTTTTTCAATATTTGAGCAAGAAGAAAAATCACTACCTTCTGCACTTTCACGATTAACAACCCTTGTTGGGGCTTTGTTCAACGTCATACGCAATTCTAGTGACAGGTCTTATAGATGAGTTTCCGTGCGACGTCACGTCATTTTGTAAACAACATGCGCGCGCATACTTGTAGGTAGAAAAAATAAAAACGCAAGAACTTAATTGTGTTTCTTGTATTTCTTTTTTACCCTAAAATCAATATTTGTACCCTGAAATTAATTTTTTCTTTAAAAAATTATTAAAAGAATAATAATTAAAATTAATTACAAATATTTCATTTAAATTTTGGTAATAAAAGTTTTTATTGTTATTAAAACTTTTGTTTAAAAAACTTTAAAACAGATGTTTTTGTTCAAATTTTAAACTCATTTTGAGTTTAAAATAGCTGTTGCTTTTGCGATTTTTCTTATAAGTTTTTTCTGTTTTTGGAAGTCAACAATAACACTTAACTTTTCAAAATAGTTAACAATATGATGAGTGAATATTTTAAAAGTCTAAAGTTAGAAGAAGCAATAGACTACACAAAGAAGTTAACTCTTAAAAATGGGGAAGTTTTACTGGATCTGTTTATAATTGAACCAAAAGAATGGAGCAACGATCTCAATCATTTGCCAAACATTACATGGCAAGACGTTACTCAATATTTAATCGATACACCTAGCATATACACGAAGGAATCAATCAGAGCCTATAAATCCTTGGAAGCATATGATTACTTCACTTGTGGTCATGTTCAAGAATGTTTTTATAATAAAATATTGATTAGGAGCAAATTCTGTTTTATAAAATCAAAGGTTATTTTCACGAAACACCTACTACAAGTATCTTGTGTACTTGGAAGATGTTCAGCCTGCTCCATTGCAGCTCATAAATTTTCAGCGACCTTAAAAAAATCTTTTACAAAAAGATTTGGTTGCAAAGCTACCTAAAAAAAAAAATACTTTTCCAACAATAATCCAATGGATGGTGAGCACCAGTTAACAGCTCAAGAGATGGAAAAACTTTTTAAAATTAACCCAAAATCTGCAATTTTTACAAGTATTAATCTTACAGAATTTATGTCTGTTAAATATGACTCTATTGCTACTAAAACTTCATCTGAGACAGATGAGACATACCTTCCTGAAACTTTCACATCAATATATGATCCAACAAGTATGAATTTATCTGAGGATAAGTTGGTCATTTTTTGCGAAAGTATATATAACGATTATAAAAATGATAATAATCAAAGGCAGTATAATAACTTATGCAACCAAACAAAAACACAATCATTGAATCCTGTTTGGATGATGCACCGTGCAGGGCGTATAACAGCTTCAAATGCAAAAAAAGTATACAATTCTAATACAAACTATATGTCAAGTGAATCATTGGTCAAATAAATTATGCATTATGCAAAAAATTATGTTAATAAGTACACAAAATATGGAACAGAAACGGAACATGTTGCACAAAAATATTATATTGAAAAAGTTAAATATAGTCATATAAATTTTCAATTTTTAGATACTGGTTTTCATGTGAGAGAACAATATCCCTTCATTGGAGCTTCTCCAGATGCATTGATTAGATGCAGTTGTCATCAAACTAAAATTTTAGAGATCAAATGTCCTTATAAATATCAAAACGGCTTTGAAGGATGGGAAAAAGATAAAGATTTTCCAATCAATAAAGATCTCATTATAAAAAAGGATCGCAAATATTACTACCAAATTCAATTACAACTACATGTATGTCTCTGTTCTGAGGCTGATTTTCTTGTATTCTCCCCTGCAGTTAAAGATGAACAAAGTTTTATTTTAACAATTGAAAAAGATACAGATCTTATTCTCAAAATGATTGATAAGTTTTTTATGTATTTCAAAAACATTTTATCACCAGAGCTTGTAACACGTCGTAATGATAAATCGACAATAAATAGTAGAAAAGTTTACTGTATATGCCAAAGACCAAGTTTTGGAAAAATGATACAATGCAATTTTACCAAATGCAAATATGAATGGTTTCATTACGCTTGTGTTGAACTAAAAAGCGCTCCAAAAACTACTAATTGGTTATGCAAAGAATGTAAAACCAAGCAATAAACCAGAACAAATATTACTTTCCTTTAATATGTATTTAGATTTTAAAACTGTAAAAATTGCTTCTCTGTAAATTTATTTTTACATTTACATTAATCAAGTAATTACACTCATATTGAGATTTACAAGAGCACAAATAATAATCATAACATCATCTAACAAATCCACTTGGTGATTGGCACAGTCATATGATTAATACGAAACCTTTTTATTTGACCAATCACTCTTTCTACATGTATGCGAACATTAGATATCTGTCTAGATGTATCCACTTCCCATCCAGATAATTGTTGTCTACCTTTCGTAAATGCTGGAACTTTTAACGTTGCCCCAACAACATTTAGTTCATCTTTAATATTGAATCCTCTGTCAGCAAGAACACAGTCACCAGGATAAAACTTCTTACAAAAGTTTGACTCAAATGTTATTTGCTTGTCTGAAACACGACCACCCCAGCCAGGAGATAAAAAACTAACTGCCCCAGCTGGAGTAATACCAACAAGATATTTAATGGTATTGTTATGTTTGTAATTAGACCAAGTTTGTGATCGTGAAGTTAAATTTTTTGGCCATTCAATAAATATTTCAGTACAATTAATAATGCAAACACAATCTTTGAACTTTTTTTTAAAACAGATAGGAAGGTTACTCCTTATTATTCCACGGTCTGGCCAAACAATGAGATTAACACCTCTAGCAGAAAAAATTGGTATTATTGATCTGAAAATTTTTAAAACTACTACTGGGCTTAGTCTAAATCGAAAAGCAATATCTTTATTTAATAGACCTAATTTTAGTTTTATGTGTACAATTAAGAGATGGTCCCCCAACAATAACCTTGAGTGAACTTTTTTAATATAATTTTTAACTCCTTCAAAGAGCCACATAAACGTAGTTCGAGACAAGCCTGAAAAAAAATTCATTTGTTCATCTGTTAGATTTTGGTATGAAATATATTTATTATGGTCTAGTCTGGAATTCTTTTCTTTAAGTTCAATAATTTCATTAGATTTCTCGATCAATTCATTTCTGTATTGCATTAACTGAAAGTTAAGAGTTTCCACTTCTACTTTATAAGTATCATGCTCACAAAATTTAGAAATAGCTGACTTGTCATTTGGTGGATTTATGTCATTATTTATATTATATTTATAGTTATCAAGCTCTATATCATTTGATTGGCTAGATGACAGTGTTGATTTTTTGAAAGATCGTTTTTTACATAAAGCTTTATAGCAATCTTTTGTCTTCCTTTTTTTAATCAAACTAGAAATCATAGCATCTCCAAGGTGATTAAATGCAGGTGGACTCCAGTCAACGTCAGATGGGTCATCAGAACGTTTCCCTAAAATATAAAATTTATAATATTTAATTAAATATTAATTTAATTAAATATTATTATAAAATATAATATTTAATTGAATTAATAAATGTACCAAATATTATAAATCACTAGTTTAAAGAATCTTATTAAACGTATTACTACGTATATAGTTTTTTTAGCTAACCTCATTCATTAAAAGAACATACCTGATACAAAATGTGCACTGCATACTCGTTCTTTACTAATTTTTTTCACATTCCCAACTGTCCTATCCTTACGATTAATAGCTTTAATCCAGTCTATTCGCCTTCTTTTCTCAAAAGGCGTTTTTCCTGATGGAAATTAATAAAATTTTAATCGACATTCTTTTTTAAACTTGTTTGAACAACCAACTGCACAACAACTGGTTGGCATATTTTATTTCTTGTTAAATTAGTGAATCAGTGAATAAATAACAATCAGTGAATAAATTTAACATAAATGTCTCAATGTTTTTACTTGAAAATTTCCGATTATTTGTTTTTCTACCTACAAGTTTGCGCGCGCATCATTTTTTTGAAAACGAGAATGTAAACATTTAAAACTCATCTATAGCTACAAAATTCAAAAGTTAGCCAAAAAAATCAACACTGTACGTTAAATTATTAAAGATTACAGCAAAAAATTATGAAATTTTTTAGTTGCTGATTTAGCCAGAAAAAAAAAATTAAATTTAGTATAGGAAATACTTTATTTATTTTTAAATAAATGGCTATCACTACGTAATTGTTGCTATTTGAATAATAATTTAAATGCATAAACTTTTTTGTTTCGAAGCTTAGGCTTATTTCGTATATCATGATCAATGGCTACATTGACCTGTTAGAACAATAGCTTGCACTACATAGACTTGATTTGAAAAAGATATTGTTGGTATTATGACTGATGAAGCAAGAGCAATAGAAAAATCGGCGAGTTATAAGCTGTAAATCAACGAATATGTTTTGCCGTGCAACTGGTCGTTATTGAAGTAGTATATCAAAAGCGTATTAGTTACAGTTATAGCCGTTGGGATGCTAATTTGTTTACAGCTGTTGTTGCCATAATTTTTATGTTAAAAAAACCTTTAGTCGCTAACAACATTATAAGTCAAAAGTTGCATTCTTCAAAGGCAACAAATGCGTACAGATTTAAGTGAGATTATTTTGTATTTGAAAATTTGTGAAAAACAATGTTTCGTCTAAATCTAAAATAGAGCTAAAAATAGTTCGATTAAAATAGACTTCAATAAAATTGGCACAAGATAATAGTCGACTTACTCGAATAACAAGATGCTTCAAATCCAGCTATATCATTAACAGCTTATAAGTCTAAACCTGAAATTAAACTCTCAGTTTCAAATGAGACATCGCTCATAATTATTTCTGATCCTTTTGACTCTCCATTTAAATCTGATTTGTTTGTTAAAAATCTTTTTAGTGTTTAAATTATAAAAACACTATAAAGATTTTAAAATCTTTTTAGTGTTTAATAAGTTTTTTAAGTTTTGATGTTATATAAAATAGGATTTAATAAATTTTTTTTCAAAGAAAATTAATTGCTTGTTTGCTGCCTTTATTATGTTTTTGAACTGAATTTTACAGATTCTTATTTTCTTCTTCCAACTTAAAACTTCGACAAATTCAGATTTTTCATTAACTTATGATATAGAACAATTTTTAACATTATTTTCTTGAAAAAAGTCTTGAATTTGTTAATTCTTGAACTGAAAAGTTTGCTATGCCTGAATTCATTTTGCTGAAACTCTTTAATTATGTTAAAAAATATTTACGTTTTATTGCACACAAAAGCATTCATAAAACGTATTGATAATAAAATCTAACTTAATGTTGCAGTTTAAAATGTTTGGGGATTGTCGTAGACATGTTGTAGTTTTGTCATTATGGTAGTCGGAAACATATTAAAAAATCAACAAAATAGTAAAGTTTAGAAAACAATAATTTTGTGGAAGAAAACTTGTACAAAGGAATAACTGTGTTCAAGATATTCATATTCATCACTAAAAGAAGTTATTACTTATATGATTTAGTTAATTCAAGAACTAACATTTTCTGGAAAACGGCAACAATAAAAAATAGCTGATATTGTTGAAAAGCTAATAGGTGCTGGATTCACTGTGTTTGGTATAGTGGCATAAAATCATTCTAATTATGTGTTATATTTATTATTCTAATTAATGCATTCTCATCATTAGCTATGGTGTTTAAATCTGAACCAAAATTTTTTATAAAATACCCTCAAAATCATCGTAAGAAGAAACTTAATGAGAGTACCCATTTTGTTACAAAATTGACCAATTTGTGTTTTAGAATAGAAACAGCATCAACTTTGCTTCCGGTGTTTTTGCTTCCGGGAAATGAATAACTCATCAGCGATTAAGTATTAAAATGTTTGCAGATATAAAATGAAAAAATCAATGTTACCTGCTGCATCTTATAGCTGCATGAATCGACCATTTTATACCTATTAGATGAAATAAATTCATAAAAAATCTTTCTCCCAAAGAGCTATATCTTTCAAGGAGCTATATCACTGAAGGAGCTATATCTTTGAAGGAGCTATATCATCGAACCAGTTATATCTTCAAAGTAGAAATAACTTCTTAGTAAATTCTTGAAGTCAAAAGAATTTTTTTTAAAGCAAAAGAAGGTAATGTTAAACTATGTTTTAACAGGCCAAAAATTAGAAGCAGGCGTATTTTAGGAAAGTCACTGCTCAAAGCTTTTTAATAACACAGATAAATTGAAAGATTTGATTAAGTCTTTTTAACTGAATAATAATGACTATCTTTCATTCATATTACAAGCATTTAAATATTTGAGAGAAGTTAAAGTAAATTTATAAGGAATGGTTTTTAAATCCAATTATGAAACTAACATCAAAATCTATCAAGAAGCCAACTGTAAACTCGGATGAAGAGTATTAACTAACGAACATGCTTAGGTAAATTATGCAGAATAATTCTGGAAAATATCATATCATATAAATATTCAAACAACGGCTTAAGCTACTAGTAGTAGCTTAAACAATTGTTTGAATAATTTTATGATTTCCAAAAGCATTCTGCATATTTTACCTAAGCATGTTCTCTAGTAGTATTAGAACCAAAAAGCATCAGTTCATTATAACTTTAATCAATTCTGGAAAAATAAATACATGGTATCCATTTGTAACAAAATTTTTAATAAACTTTTTTAAAGCTATCACCAAATAAAAAGTCTTGTTGTTATTTAATTTGTTATTTAAAACACTTTATTTTTAAAAAGATAGGAGATAGATAGCGAAAAAATTTAAAAAGATGACAAAAATCTTTACAAAAAAATCCGAAGAAAATTTAAAAAACCTACTATTCAAAATTAATTAATAAAGTTAAAAATAACTCAAAACGCACTTGGCAAGTATTGAAAGAAATGACTGGAAAACAAAAAAAATTCTCAAAGTCTCAACCACAAATGCTTGAAGTTGATTACAATACCTTGTAGGAACCACATATAATAGCTAATTAATTCAATAAATGTTTTACTGAAATTCGATCAACTCTGTCAAGTAAAATACCAAAAACCCAAACCTCATCTTATGATTTTTTGATACCTATTGATAAAAATAATTGCTCTAAAGAATTATCTGCCAAACAACCATTTGATAAGTTTGTTAATGCTATTAAATCTTTAAAAAAGAATGAAGCACCTGGTGCAGATGAAATAAATAGAAATATTGTTATAGATTGTTAAGATCAATCAAAAAATATTCTTTTCAAAAGTTTCAGAGCATCTATTCATCAAGGTATCTTTCCTGAACGTATAAAACTTGCCAGGGTTACCCCTATCTATAAAGAAGGCTGCAGATTCAATATCAGTAACTATCTTCCCCATCTCTGTTCTTTCTATGTTTTCAACTGAACATGCCATTTTTCAATTTATGCATAGCATCTTTGAATGTTTTGAAAAATCTCAATATACACTAGGTGTTTTTATTAACCTATCGAAAGCCTTGATACGTTTGATCACCACGTTTTAGTTAAAAGAAATTAAACATTATGGTTTACATAATAGAATTTTAAAATGGTTTGAAAGCTATTTAACAAATCAAAAATAATTTGTGTATTGAAGCAAAGGTGATTTTGAAGGGTATTTCATTGCTTTGCAGAAATAAAAAACTGATGGAGAATTCTTAAATAAAACTAAAAAAAGTTACAGAACAAAGCTAAAATTTTCATTAAATAAACTTTTAGATTAAAGATTATTATACGATTAAAAAGTTAGGATTATAGCAGGCACAAACAAGCTAAAAATGCAAAGGTGTAGATTTTAAATTCTTGCTTAAGAATTAGAATTAGGATCTTTTGTGTTTGCTAATTATTGACCATAACTCCGAGAAATCTGCAATTTTCTTAGTGTAAGAAATACTTTGATTGAATGAGAGTGTAAAAATCAGTCACGATAAAGTATAAATCAGCCATAATTTTGAATCTCTCAAATGGTGGATTGCCAACAATATATATATATATATATATATATATATATATATATATATATATATATATATATATATATATATATATATATATATATATATATATATATATATATATATATATATATATATATATATATACACACATAATAAGACAGTAAAACATATATTTAATGAACTACTTTATACAAAATCCTTTTGATCTTAAAGTTTTTATAACACGAAAGGTATAAATATAATGCATAAATGTGTTTATTTTTTGCTTAGGGAACTCTTTGTAAAGATTTATGCTGTCACCTTTTTTGCTGTTATTGTGCATTAATTCAGGAAGCCCAGGTACTTTTACGTATGTACGTATGTATGTATGTATGTATGTATGTATGTATGTATGTATGTATGTATGTATGTATGTATGTATGTATGTATGTATGTATGTATGTATGTATGTATGTATGTAGGTATGTATGTATGTATGTATGTATGTATGTATGTATGTATGTATATTTTGTGTATTTTAAACCATGAAAACTGTTTAGATTGACAAGGCTTTGGACAGTTCTAATAAGAATTTGATTGATGATAGTAGAGAAAGATTTCAGATTTAGTAGAGAAAGATTTCAGTTGAAAACGATTCTCTTGTCTACTTTAATTTTAATTTTAATTGTCTTGAACCTAATGTTTCTTTTTATTTTGTTGCAAACAAAAAACAATGTGACTAATATTTATTTTATTATTATTATATTATTGTTATGATTGCTTAAATTTATTTTAGCTTTTCAAATTTCTATACAACAACTTATAACAATTACATTTTGACTGGCATTAACAACAATTTTTCATATTTTAAACTTTTTACAGATTATCAGTTTCATTAGAATCTTTAGAATTTTCTGGTTCTTGAGACTCAGATATCTATCATTCCAAGCTGAAGAAATGTTACTTGTGAATTATAATAAAGTCATCGTTACTGAGTTGCTTTTTTTAATTTTTTTTACCTATTTTTTTTTTACTTAAAGAAATCCTTCCTACGGTCATTTGTTTTTGAAAGTTATGTTCTAAAAGTTTTTTAAATGTCTTTAAAATGTCTTCTAAACATTCATACGTAAGGAACGTTCAAAAGACATTTAGAAGGTAACTTTTAAAAATAAATGCCCGTAGGGCAGTAACTGCTGTTAAATATTTTTTATATGAAGGGAAGAGTAAAAAGAATAATTTAAAGATCTTAAAAATATGTAAAATAAATCTTATAATAATGTTAGTATTTCTAGCTATGTTGTGCATAAATGATTGACACCAATCTTCTTGAGACAAATTTTTATAATTTTTGTGGGTCATTTGAAAAACCAGACGCCTAAACCTCCCAAGTTGTTGCGTTTTTCTTTACCAGTTTAACAGGAACATCATAATTTGACAGGTTGTTTTTAAAGAATGATTATAGTTTTAAATATTGATGATTGTTATTCTGAACTTATTTTTGATACTTTTGTATCAAATATAAATAAACATCTGTATTATATAGCTTCACAAACTTCCGTGTCTGGAAAGTTTAAAAATTGATCATTAAATTTTTATACAAATTAAAAAAATATCGTTTGAAAGTGCTATTTATTTTGTGCTTAGTAAAAAACCAAAAAAAAAAACACCATTTGATATTTAAAAACTACATCGGAAATCATACATTCATGAAACATTTTTTAATCAACCAGAATATAAATAATTAGCATATTTAAACTGAATAGTAATAATAAACTTAACAATAGTTTTATTATATTTTACTTTAAAATATTTTTTTTGATATAATGACCGAAATACGAGGGTTTAATGTCATATACTACAAAAAATAAAATTACCACAACCGCTAAATTACGGCGATAAAGAGCGGAAAATTACCGCGACCGGATTTTTTTTCTGCTCCTAAAATCAAGATAAGAATACGAATAGCCATGAAAACTACTATTTTAGAAAGCTAATAAACTGCAATATTTAGTGCACTAATCCGCATGTTAATGCAGAATGGTGCAATTTTATTTTTATGATTTTTATATTAAGAGTCATTTTTATTTAAAGGATAAAAAGTATTTTTTTCAGCTCATTTTTACATGGGGTCTTCAAATACCATACTAAAGCCTATGAAGGGAAGGGGGAGGGCGAAGTGCTCCAATATACAATTGCGTACGCACTTATAAAAAAAAATTATTCTTTTATAATGTTTTCTTTTAATTCTTTTGTTTTTCTAATTTCTCAAAAATAACATTTACCGTAGAACGGGGTGACTTTGATACGCGGGGTGACTTTGATAATTTCGTATGTTATTTACAAAAATAATGATTTGAATGTGAAATTGCACAATTAGAGACTATTTTTTTTTTTTATTCTTGTATATAATTATATTCTGCTAATATTTTTGAAATTTTAATAATTGTGAAGTGATTCTAAATTGTGCAAATGTGTTAGGAATAACATGACTATAACAAAAAAATAACGATTTTTACACGTACCAAAAAATGCTAAAAAATCTTGTGATTTTAATTTTTTTGAATTTTTTTTTTCTAAAAATCTATACTTAGATGTTCAAGTGGTATTTTCCAGTTATAATACCACTGGAATATACCACTCGTTTTTGGTTGCTCTCAATCACATTTGCAGAAAAATCAGTGTAAATCAGGGTAAATCAGTATTTAATATTTATATGCAATTAGTATTATTTTTTTGTTAGTGTTATTTTATAACTGCTAATTACTATAACAATGTTATTGATATATTATTTTTCTGTGTTTAGCATATTAACATCAAATTTATTTTTGTTTTTTCTTTGTCCATTCTGTAGATATATTCGATAACCAAACTTGTTGTCTAAATTTATAATTTTACCAGTAAACCTTATAAGTTTATTAATATGTTGTGTTCTAATTTAGTAAAAGTCAAAAAGAAAGTATTAGCGACACTTGTAAAGAGGGTTAAATCAATAAGCCATTAAGAAATAATAGACTATCAAAGTCACCCCAAACGACGGGGTGAGATTGATAACATTTTGGATTAAAAATATATATATTAAGACAAAAAAAAATAAAAATATTTAATGGAATTATATAAAAGAAAGGTATAATGTTATAACTGGAAAAAAAAAATCAGAAAAAATTGTAATGAACCAGATTTATTTTGCAAAAATGCTCAAAATCCTAACAAAGTCACCCCGTTCTACGGTACTTCTTAATAACTACGGTACTTCTTAATAACTAAATGTTTTTTGAACAAATAACATTTTTTAAAAAACAAAATAGTTGCATGTTTTAACAATTCAGTTAAATCAATTAGAACTTGCAGTTATAAAGCAGAGTTTTTCTGCCTTGCTGAGTCACTACATTACCCATGGTCATAAACACGGCAGCATTCTCCTTTCGTAGCACTCTTATAAGAGTGTATGTTTGTATAGTGTATGTTTATAAGAGTGTATGTTTGTATACAAACATACAGGGCTAGAATAAGAAATTTTTGAGAAATGGGAAGATATCTAAGTAAATGTTGGAAATGAGAAGTTGAAGAGAATAAAGAAAACATTTTCATTTAAGAAACACATAGCAAAGAAAATTCACACGCTGGTAACGTAGTTTTGCCCTTTAAGGCTTTGCAGACCAAAAGTAAGTAATTTTGAAAAGAATGAGTGAATCAGAGTGAAAATCAGAATAAGTTGAGTTAGAAAAATAGCATAAAATAAAAAAAAAGTATTAAACTAGATGTTAGAGTGCACAATTCATACTTTTAATAAGGTTACCTAATTAATGTATTAGTATAAACGTAGTTAACATTGCTGATGACGTTTGTTAAGTTTTGCTCTTTAAGGCTCATTTACGTAGTTTTTAACAATTCTGTGTAAATTTGTAGAACTTTTTTTTGTTTTTTTTTACTATATATTCTGATAAAATGGCGTTGTATATAAAATTTAAGAACACAGAAACTCAAAGAGGATTGTAAGATCCTGTCACCGAAGGACCATTTAACAATATAAATAAAATATAACCAGGTATACATAAATACAATAATATACAGTTTAAATAATACTGTTAATAAATTAATACCGTTTGACAAAAGCATTAAAAAATCTAAATATTGCAAATTTAAAATACCGTTTATCAATATGAAAGATATAAAAAAAGCAAATATTTTAAATATCACATAAAAGTATAACACAATATGGATTACAATAAGGATTGAGCTTAAAAAATTTCGAACATTTTATCGATTAACAAAATAACGTTTTTTGTTTTATTTTTGAAGAAAAAAGAAAAGAAAGAAAATTTCAACTTTGAGAAAAATTTAAATTTTCAAAACTATTTGGTTCAGCAAAAAAGCTTCCAGATATAGTAAAAGTAATCTTCAAAAATTTTGTATGCGAATAAAGTTGATAAATAAGATAGATTCTTAGGTCATATTTGGTTTTATTGCACATAAATATTGAAAGAATATAAACCATAAGTTTATTTTACATTTGTACACAAATTAAAGAAGATTAAAAACATTTAGCTGACATATATTAAGAACCCTCATTTTCAATAAAACAGGTATAGCATGAGTGTTATACTCATGTTTTTTTATTATTTTTAAAGTTTATTAGATGTGCTACATTCTTCTGTTGCAGATAAAGAGGATCTTATTGTTTTTTTAAACACTAATTTATGCAATATTTGCATAGCTTATCTGGTATTAATAATAATAAGCGAGTAATAATGAGTTAAATTAATAATTAATAGTACAATGTTAGTAATTTAATAATGGATTGCAGATTACCCAGCAATGAGTTAGCAAAGCTGCTGAATAAATTTTTTACTCATAAACTTCATGCGTTGGACCTAACTCATGCCTTTCATGATTTCTTTGCGGATAGGAATGCTGATACCTCTGGTGACAATGAGAGTGGCATGGATTCCACTGATGGTGTCGACATGTAGTAGTATTGTATTTGCCGATTGAAAATAATTTACACTCGTAATTTATAAAAACAAATATTTACATGACTGGGGCTTGAAGAAGACAAAATTCATCTTATCATTAAGCCCCCCCCCCCCAAAAAAAAAATGCATATTCATCAAATAAAATATTTTAACAAAATGTAAAAAATAAAATATATAACGTTTAAAATATTTAGTAATTCAAAGAGTATTTATATTTAAGAACTGATTAGTAAAATAAGATGATATATAAGTATTAATATTACAAAAAGAATTTACAATAACTTTTTATAATAAAAATTGAAATTATAAAATTTTACAGTATTTTTAGTAATTAGTATTTCAAATAATAAAACTTAAAAAATCGTTTGTAAATTCAAAACTTATAAGATAAGAAATACATTTACAATAGCAGACTATTGTTAGAATATTAAATATAATATTAAAGAGTAATTAGTAGGTTAATTTTTGTTTTTGTTTGCTAGTTTAAAAAGCTTTTAAGAAGAACTTTAATTCATTTTCATGTATCATCAGTAATTGCTTAAGTTTTGTTTTAAACTGGTTTAAAGAATAATTAGATTTCAGCTCATTATTTAATATTGTATTCCACAGCTTAGGACCTCGATTTGCAATTGAGAATTTGGTTGCTGAATAATGTGTTTTGGATTGAATGTAATTGTTTTTTGAAAATCTGGTAGGGTATATGTGGTTTATTTTTTCAAAAAGTGAATTAAATAACATTGGTGATATTTTTTTATCAAGTTTAAACATGAAGATAAGAATATGGTAAAGGTTTAGTTTATAAACATTTAGAATATTAAGTTTATTAAATAATGTTTTAGTGTGAGAGAAACGGTCTACGTTTGTAATTATCCTTATAGCCTGTTTTTGTTTAAACAGTTTTTTTACTTTTGTTGCGTTTGTGCTGCACCAAGGATTTGATGATTGACAGTGTCAAAAGCTTTACTTAAATCGATAAATACACCTAGGCTATACTTGTCTTCATCAAACCCTTTAAATATATCATGAACAAGGTGAGTGATTGCATGATCAGTTGAATGACCAGATTTAAATCCAAACTGTTTATGATAAAGAATATTATTAACATTTAAAAAGGAATATAGTCTATTATACATAACCCGCTCTAATATTTTAGAAAAACAAGAAAGAATTGAGATTGGTCTATAATTCGTAACATCGGAAGGATCACCTGATTTTAACACTGGAATTACTTTTGCAATTTTTAGGTTATCTGGAAAAACGCCTTGTTTTAAAGATAAATTAAAAATATGTAGTAATGGAGTTGTAATTTGTTTTATTGATTTGATAATGACATTACTACTTATATCATCAAATCCTAAACTTTTATTGGGTTTTAATAAAGAGACTGCGTCTAGTAATTCTTTTTCTGTAAGTTTTTAATTAGACATAACATTAAGGTTGGTTGAGGTTAAGTACGAACTAAAGTGTGATTGAGTAGTTGCTATATTAGATGATAAAGTAGGACCTATATTTACAAAAAACTGGTTAAGTGTTTCAGCGACTAAGGATTTATTTACAATTTGTTTGTTATTAAATTTAAGATTTAGAGGAAGTAAGTTTCTGTATAAGCTTTTTTTTCCAATTACCTCCTTAATAATATGCCAAGTTTTTTTAGAATCATTTTTGTGCTTTATTAATTGTTCAGAATAGTAACGTTTCTTTGAGCGTTTTAAGATTGACTCAAATAGCCGTTTATAGTTTTTATAGGTAGTTTCATTTTTAAGAGTTCTTTTTTTAAGAAACTTGTTATATAAGCGTTGTTTTTTTTTTTTGAAGATTTAAGAATGCCCTTCGTGATCCAAGGGTGTCTTCACTTGAAGTAACTACAACTACTGAAAACGTCGATTGTCGAAACGTCTATTAAAAAATATTCAAAATATTATGAATATAAAATAATTCCAATATAAAATAACGAAATATTTATTCAAAATCAAGAATAGTTACTTATAAGATGAATTCTAAGAGTCCGAATGTGTTTTTTATTTAATAGCGAACCGACGACATGAAGAGCATTGGTATTCCTGACATCATCCCACCATTGCCAGTTTCACCCAAAAGTCAATGGCATTTGTTTGACAATATTTGAGTACTTGTATCAGAACAAGGAAGGAACTCAATATTTCCAAAACCCTTCTGTGAAAAAATCAATTTAGCATTTCAGATCTAATAAAGCAAAGGAAGGTAGCGATGCCGCTCCATGTGCGGCAGCCATGGTTTACAACGAAAATCTTCTGTTTGCTAAAGTTGGAAAAGTAACTCGAGAGGCAACCGCATCCGCCAAAACAAGCCCTCATGCATCCGACAAAAGGAATCCTCGAACAATTGCTGATCCACCGGAATCCACCGTCAAAGCGGAAGTAGGCATCCTGTTCTTATTTCAAGCAACAAGAACATTGGACCATATCAATAAAGTTGTAAAAGGTTTACCTATTTTCCCGCAAAGAAGCGCAGATTTCCGAGAACATTTTTTTTGGTTTATAAAACTTTTTTTAATTAGGTTCAGTTTTTTTGATTAAATTTGTGACTAATAATGCTGTAGAACATACCTTAAGTTTACAAGAAAATTGTAAACTTCTATAAATAAGTTTGCATATAATTATCTCAAATAATCTTGATGTTAGTAATGCTACTAATCTAAGGCAGTACACTTGGTACCTTTTAATATTGATACTGTTTAGAGAAGTTTTTTGAGTTTGGTAAAAATCTTGAAAAAATGTGAATTGTAATTGGTTTGTAATTGATAAAAAATATACAAAATGTGTGAACAATTCAAAGTATTCATTAATTTAATTACCGTAGACTTTTCAGTACCTTTTTATATAGGCACTATGTAGAAGAAAAACTATTTTTTCAAAATATTAAAGAATATTTATTGTAAAAGGTTTTCATTTAATTTTTAACAAACTATTATAAATATATTCAAAATAAACTCTAACTTCATTAATATGTGATAGTTATACAATTTTAAGTATGTCATACTTTCAAAATGTTATTTCTCAATAATTTTATTTCTAAAGCGCTTCCATTCCAAATTCTGTAAAATTGCTGATAATGATTTTATTAACCTGATTCTTGTTTTATTTTGTAGCTTATTCTTAAATCTATGCAGCTGTGTCAATAACACCGTTTCATAGACTTGATACCTTATCTCATATAATGTAGCTACTATTTTCACAGGAACCATATGTTTTGATGTTTCTTAGAATTTTATAAGCGCATTCAAAATTTTTAATGAAAGTTTTAAAGTTTTTTAGTGCATAAAATACGGGAATGGTAAAATAATATGTTGTGTTAGTTTTAATTGGAATGTTGTGATAATTTTGTGCTAATTTTGGGCCAACAGTTACAAAATAGTCGTTTATCTTATTTTTATCATATATTTTATGTAATAATTTTTCTTATATTATCTTTTTAAATATATATATACAATCATAAATATGTTCAATAAACTTTGGTAAGTTACATGTTTTAATCTTATTACTCCCAGTAATTTCATTTAAAACTTGCCTAGTGCGCTTTGAGTTATGTTTAAACTTCTCTGGTAAGTTGAGTATTTTTTTTTTTTTTTTTCATTTACTTTCTAAATGCTTCACGTGGTTTTTATGAACCACGTAATTTCTATCACATTTTTATTTTAAATACTTAATATACAAACTTTTTTTAAGTTTGGAAGATTTTCTGAGATCGTAGATAATCCATGGTAACCTAATATTTGATTTTCAAGACTTACTATATACATTATGTATTGACTTACTATATATATTATATATAGTATATTATTTTCAAGACTTACTATATATCGTAATGAGGAAAGTGTGTGTTATAAAGTTCAAAAAAGTTTTAAAGAACGAGTAATAAACTAGAATAGCTACAGATGAAAAAGTTATATGTTTCCAGTGTAATAGATAGTCGTTTATTAAACGATTTATATTCGCTTGGCTGAAGCATCGTTTAAAGTAAACTTGAATTTGTAAAACAACTCAATGTCAATACTAATATATTATATGTCAATAAAAAAAAAAAAAAAATGATCTGAAACATTGTTTTTAACTAAAGCCTTTTTGTTTAATTCATAAACAAAAAGGGTTTACTTAAAGGTGTCCGCTGTTATTATGTTGTCTATTATTGTACCTCAATTTGAAGTTACTATTTTTGGTTTATGGATTAACAGATTTGCCCCGTTTTCATTACAAAACCTATAACATGATAATTTAAATGTGTTTAAATTTATATCGCCAAGTATGTAGGTTAATTTTTTTCAATGTTTATTTTTTTTTGATATCGGTAATGAAATGACTTGTTTTTCCTTTTTTTTTTAGTTATAATATCGATACTTAATCGGATTATTTGAAATTTCCGCATCAAGCTGAGCCTTGAAACCGTCAACGGATGAAGTGCATACAACTTCTGACAACAATTAATTCTAATGATTTACTATTGTATTTGTAAAAAACTGGTGCCTTTAGTCGCAATTTTGAAAAAATTCTCCAGTCATTTTACATGATGTCCTCTAGTTTTATATTATTTAACAACCCAACACAAAGGATATGGGGTTCACTCTATAAGATAATGTCTGTGTTACATTAGACTTTTTCCATATTTTAGGACAACAACTGTGAAAGTTCTGAGAAATTGTGCTTAAAGGTGTTGAGAAGCTGTCAGAACAGTTCTTCACTACATGTGCGTTTACACCATCCACACCACTGGTTTTATCAACTGAAAAATTGCTTGGCTTGTTTTCAACCAATTTTGCTTTATTTGCGAGTATTTACAAATGGCTTTAATTCGTTTTATGAAACATGGCAGTTCATCGTCTTCATTTATATTGAAAACACTTTGAACGTGGTCTTTCAGTAGATTTGGTATTTCTATTAGATTTGTGATAGTGTTGCCATTGCTTTTTTTTAAAGGATGTTATTGTAGTTCTAGCATTTTGTTTGCTATTAACATACTTGAACAGCATCTTTGGGTTGTGCTTCGATTTCACCGCTAAATCAAGTTCAAATTCACGACGAGCTTGATATATGCGCTTCTTCAATTTAATATTACACGCTTTGTATTTGTTCACTAGTTGAAAATTTTTATATCCTATACATCAAAAACATAGTTTATTTTTAGCTTTTATATTATTCATGATGTCATCATTTATCCATTCGCTTCTTTAACGAATCCATTTTGAAATAGTCTTTGCATGCAGCCTCGTAGTGGTTCAGGAAAATATTACAACAGTCATCAGTATTTCGTCCCTTTAAATCGATCTGCCGGTAAATATTGTTAAAATGTTCAGATATCTTTACAAATTTACTTTTGTGATAAATTCGTCTTTCATTGGGTGTCCCTAAAACTGCAGCGCATTTAACAACGTAATTCCATTAAAGAACGTGCACAGTGGGACAGAGTGTGCCAAAATACCAAAAAATGAATGTCGGCATTGCATGGTGAAATTTTGGCGTAATGGTGAAGACATGTTCATTAGAGGAAATATCTAGTTAAAAAAAAATTAATTACTAATTTAAGCGTAAATTTATGGGGTTATTTACACGTAAATTTGACATGTGTTCCAAAAGGCTATCTTGCATTTTTTATTTATCAACCTTCTAACGGTACTACTGTTTTGTTTTAACTTTAATGACTTTCATTTTCAAATGTATTACTTTAATTAGCAATGTTTTTTTCGCTCAGACTTTTAAAAGTAATTTAATGTAATCATAAGTTTTTATGCATTGAAAACAGAAAGTTTTCGAAATTGCTTTTGTTACTAAACTTTACAATTAGGTATTCGATAAACCAACGTCCAATATCCTTCAAACATTTGATTATGTAAATCTCATGCTAAATGTATGTAAATAGCCATACAACATATTTTGCAACATTTTGCAATAGAAAAAGTTATAACAAAACATTGGCCTTCGGTTAATGGTCAGTTGATATGATATACTAAACATGTAAAGAAGATGTTTTGTACACAAAGAATATCTACAAAATCTTTCATTACTGTTATTATATATAAGTTCTGTAAATATAAATCTTAAAACGTTATTTATGACAAATAAATGTATTGAAAAGTAATATTTTTGATGTTTACACTAATAAAAGTTGTCTTGTCCATTAAAAATATTTCGTATTTTTCAATAAAATTTAGTTTTAAATTTTTTTTTTTTTTAAATTAAATAACTACATGATTATTACTTTAGTTATGAATTTTAAATATAAATATAGCTATTTTAATAAAAAAAAACTTCGAAAATAATTTTGACACAAAACCTCAATTTTGTCCCACTGTGAGGAGGTGAGATTTCTTCAGAGACGTTAAAGGTGCATGGTGAATAATATTGACAACCCGAGTTTCATTTTCTGCTAGAATAAGATCAAAGTGTTGTTCGCTGTAATTTCATCAAGTTAAAAAGTGGCCTAATTAACAAACTGTGTCAGAAACAACTCAGCGAGGATGTCAATATAATCACTTGAAAGGGATACTGTTCAAATCACAGTTAATCACTGGCAAGTTAAAGTCTCCACAAATCAGCAAGCCGCTGTATATATTAGTAACGCCCTTTTAATTACTAAAGCAAATGAACTTCTGTCTAATATATATAGCGGCTTGCTGATTTGTGGAGACTTTATTTTGCCAGGAATTAACTGTGACCAGTTTCCCAACTGTAAGTAACACAGATACTCTTTCAAGTAATTATATTGACAAACGCTTCAATTCTTTCGATTGGATCTAGCATGTATGGCCTGTGTATGCAAAACAGAATGGGTTGGAAGCCATACGATATTTCAAACCAAAATTCTTTAGGGGAATCTAACAAAACATATTCACGTATCTCATTAGGTTTCAATGAAGTGTCAACATAAATAATTTGAATTGTAAATCAAAACATAATTAATAATTTTAACAAAGTTTAAAATCTCTTTGTCGGCATCAGCAATACATGTTTTGCATTTTTAAATATAGAACTAAAACAATATCGTTTAGAATTTAAACATAAAATCAGTGTAAAATCAACATTCATTTAAAATTAAATTTATTACTTTATTTTTATATTTTTATAATAATAAAAATTATTATCATATTTTTTTAATTATTATTATAAAAAATATTTTGCAAAATATTTAGCATCAAAAATAAAAATAATTTTATTCATGGCAATCTTATACGTCAACTTTCTTTTCAACCCATTCGCAGATGATTAGTTTGTCATAGGAGATAAACGCATACTTTCCTAGTTCTCGTTGTTTTAACATTTTAACTTTCAAATCTTTTCTTATTTGAACAGTTTCAAAACAAAAATTCTCATTTAAATATAAATATTCCCACTTTTGACTAAAGAGTTTTAATTTATCTTTTACTTTATCTTTATTATTGTTCTATTTTTATGGTTGCCCTATGGTCTGGTTCTGTGTGCCCGTTCCAACCTAATATCTTTGATTTTATGTAACTCCCCAAACAGTTTAAGGAGTTTTAACTTGCTTTCTTCCCATATATCATATTAGCTTTTTTTCGTTCCATTTATCCGTAAATTAGTTCTTTTCGATCTGTCCTCTATTTTCGATAACTTGTTGTTTATTTTATTTTAAGGGTTCCAATCATTTACTTGGCTGCAAACTTTCTTTGTTTTCTCTTTAACTATACCAAATTTTGATGTAACTATTTCCTCATGAACAAGAATAAACTTTTTAATTTCATTCAAATCAGTTTCTAAAAACGATATCTTTTGATTAGACTTTAGATTTCTAAAGCACTTGTTATTGTAGCAGCTTTAGCATAGTTGTTTAAAATTTCGGATTCAAGTTTGTCAAATTTTTCAGATACAACTTTTATATCAGCGGTGGTAATTGCATTGAAACATTTTTATTGTTCTTTTAGCAACTTTTGATTTTCTTCTGTTTTTGTGTTTTTCAGCAGTTATAGTATAGGTCATACTTACAATTGTCAACTAAGTGGCTTCGCAATGAAACTATTTTTGTCTTCTTCTTGCCCCAGCTGTTTGCTTACATTTTATAATAAATAGTTTTATAAATTCCATGGTAAAATACATACATAATAAAAAAATTTATTAAATAAATCAATATGCTGAAGTGTTCGTTCTCATTTTTTTACTAGTTGAAGTAATGATTTGAAATTAATTTTAAAAAACAAATGCTGAAACATTAAACCAAACAAATTTCTCTGCATCATATGCAGAGAGATTTGGTTGTATATAATGTAAAAGATGCACATCATAAATAACATTTTTGTTATCATATGCCCAAATAATATATAGTGATCATATATAAGACTCAAAAGAGTTACTATTTTGCTCAAAATTAAAATATTCATTGTAAAAGAAAAAAAAATTTTATAGCATTCTTCTGGTACTTTACCAACAATAGCAACAGTGCCCAAACATTATAAGAAACAGACAAAGTTCGCTTGCTGTAAATATATTCAAGAAAAAATAGATTTTGCTCAAAAAACAGAATATAAAACATGTATACTATAACTATTTTTTTAAATCTAGCAGTTAAGTTAGGTATTAAAGCAATACTTGTCCATCTTTTTCTAAATCCGTCTTTATACACTTTCATCTTTTTGTTATTTAATTACACCTAAACAAACAAAATGTATATAAATTATTTGTGTTTAATTTGTTTTAGCAAAGGAAAATATTGGATACTTGGTTTTTCTTCATTTAATGACAATGCCTTATACATATGTAATATATAGTAATATATAAATGTTATAAAACAATAAATATTGTAATATATAAATATTATAATGATCGTAATAATGTAAAGATAATTTTAATATTTTTAATAATATTGGTAAACCGATATTGCTAATACCAGTTTAATATTCCTATTTTTAAACCTTAGTCACATTAGCATTTAATATTATATTATTAATAAAATTACGTGAAATCTTAAATACTATAGTATTTAAGATACTTAAATACTTTGTATTCAACATAACTCATAAAACTGTAATATTATATTATAGGTTTATAAGTGATATTAGTTGTAATATTAGTAAACCCCTATTGTTGCTGTTTGTTACTTTACTTCATCCAAAACTGCATATTTTTTTAATTAAACTTCTTTTCTTTTATTTAATTAACAAGATTATGACTGCTAACTGAAAAGATATATGATATCCTCAAGTTAAAACTTCAAAAATAATAACAAAACCGATGTTATGTAGAAACTTAAAGTTTGCAAGTTCTTATAAAAGAAAGCGTGCGCAACTGTAAAACAATTTATTTTGGAACAAACATGGTTTACGATCAGCAAAATCGGCAAAACTAGCACAGTATTGCAGAACTTAAAATGATAATTAAGTCGCACAATTGTTTTTTTACATATAGGTCATTGAAACTGAAAACTTGTGTCAAAACCGAGGGTTTTGAGGTCATCCATAAAGTACTAATGTTCTTAGATCTGAAAAAAGTTTACTATAAAGTATTTGATGGGTATTAGGATCAATACTAAAAGTATGCAGGGCGCTAGATCGATCCCTTGTAAAAAAAAATTATTAATTTATCAATACATATTTCACAATATTAATTTGTGAATAATGTTAGCATTTTTTTGTGTGCACAGGGAAAAATAAGTACCTTGACACGATTTTTATGAAGGACTTCTCTAAGGTGTTTAAATTTTAGAATGGAATTTTTGATGTTTTTTATAAATCTTTTAAAATTTTCATATTTTTTAATACTTTAGTTATTAAGGACGTGTGAACCAAATGGCGAACCTTTCGAGCTTTCAAATATGGAAATGAATCGACAGTAAAATTGAATAAGCCTCAACTTTACATTAGATACAATAGAAATCAAAAGTAAACATTTTAGAATGTTTTTGTTGTGATAATATATTGGTTAATTTTGATTACTCGTTGAGTTATTTTTCCTGTCATATATATGTTTGCGTTATATATATATATATATATATATATATATATATATATATATATATATATATATATATATATATATATATATATATATATATATATATATATATAATATATATATATTATATATATATATATATGTATATAAATATATATATATATATATATTTTATATATTATATACATATATTTAATGTATATAATATATAATATATAAAATATATATATATATATATATATATATTTATATACATATATATATAAATATATATATATATATATATATATATATATATATATATATATATATATATATATATTTTATATATTATATATTATATAATAATATATACATATATTAATATATGTATATATTATTATAATTTTATTATAATAATATATACATATATTAATATATGTATATATTATTATATATACATATATAATATATTATATATGTATATAATATATATACATATATAGTATATAATAAATTATATAAACATATATAATATATTATATATTACATATATAATATATATATATATATATATATATATATATATATATATATTTATATACATATATATATATAATATATATATATATATATATATATATATATATATATATATATATATATATATTTTATATATTATATATTATATAATAATATATACATATATTAATATATGTATATATTATTATAATTTTATTATAATAATATATACATATATTAATATATGTATATATTATTATATATACATATATAATATATTATATATGTATATAATATATATACATATATAGTATATAATAAATTATATAAACATATATAATATATTATATAT